TCGGTTGAGCACGTAGAAGAAGAAACTCTCGGGAAAAAAAAAAAAAAAAAAAAATTCATTTTTATAACTTTCGGTTTGAATTGAATATATTCGAACCCATGAGAGAAAAATGAAAAAATTACATTCGTCAGGAGCGTAGGTAGGGTAAATAAAAGAAAAAAAAATTAAATCATTTTTCTTTATGTTTCTTTTTCACCTTGAATAAAAGCGAATAACCATTTACGTGAAGAAAAGTATTAATAATAATAATAATAATAATAATAATAATAACGAAATAATATTATTTGTTCGATAAACTAGGCTATCCTAGGTGTTGATTCATCAATTTTCCGTCATTTTTCCATTCCTTCCTTTTAGGGGGGGGGGAACAATGGCGGTTGTGGGTTGCAGGAAAATTTCCGGGAAGGGAAAGAGAGGAAAAAAAAAGTTTTAACGTTCAAAAGAATTTCCCATTTCTCATTAAAAAAAAAAAAAAAAAAAATTCACGCACGCGATACACTTAAAAACCAATAATTGCAAATGGCTTCCTTCTTGATTCTCATCACTTATTCTTCACTTCCTTATCTCCTTCCCCTCCCCTCCCCTTTCAATCAACAATCGGTAGACGAAAAAGTTTTTACTACCTCCCCTCCCCTCCGCTTTCAATCAACAATCGGTAGACGAAAAATTCTTTACCCCTCCCTTCCCCTTTCAATCAACAATCGGTAGACGAAAAAGTTTTTACTACCTCCCCTCCCCTCCGCTTTCAATCAACAATCGGTAGACGAAAAATTCTTTACCCCTCCCTTCCCCTTTCAATCAACAATCGGTAAACGAAAATTTTTTACCCCTTCCACTTTTTTTCATTTCCAAGTTCCCGTAAAAAACAATACTTAACTCAATTTCAATAATTTCATATTTTTCTCCCCCATCCACTTTTACTTTTTCTTATCTCTAATTCCGATCTAGCCAAACTTGTCTTTCTTCCTCACCCTCTCCCCCTACCTACCCTCCCCTCCTCCTAGTTCGCTTCCTCGTTTTGACAAAAAAATTTCAAATTTCGTTCCGGAACGATTAGAATATTCAAATTTTTGTAAAGTAGCGATTCGCGAGAGACAATTGTTCTTTCGCGTTCTAAATTCGTTATTTTTTTTTTCCTTTAAAACGATTTAAAAATTCAAACAGGAAATTTGAAAATGGAGAAATTGCGACTGTTATTTAATACGAATTCATTTGTCCTTTTTTTTTTTTTATATTAACTTACGTACAGAGACGAAAAAAAAAAAAAAGTTCGTTATTACATTTCGAACGATGATAATGATAATATTTTTTGTAAAAATCCGACCAAAAATTAATTAAATTACAATTACAATAGTTTTACAGGTGCGTAAAATATGTCTGTCGACCTTGAAAAATTTCATAACGCGTTAAATAATTTAAAAAAAAAGGAAAAAAAAAAAAATTTTTATGCCGACCGTTGCAAAAATGAAAAATTCATAATCATTCGAATTAAAAAGTCAAACGTAATGAAAAAAAAATTTCTTTTATTTCTTTTTTCGGCTTGTAAAGCAAATTAATTTTTCACTGTCACATTCTTTTTTTTCGTTTTGTTTCGTTATGTGGTAGACGTACCTGAACCGTAAATACCTTAACCTTAAAAACTTATTTAAGAAAAAAATTTTTTTTTTTACGCGGGTAAAGTCTTAAAAAAAACGCGACAGTAATATAAATGAAATAATATAATTATAAAAACAGGTATAATGAATAAAAAAACTCACCTATGACTTTTAATTTTCTAATAAAACAAATCAGGTACAAAATTGTATTGACATAACGTTAAACGTATTACAACAATCACAGAAAAAAAAAAAAAAAAAAAAAAACTCAAAATTGATCCTCACACCTTGAATGCATTTGACCGACTGAAGTTTTTTACTCTATGATTTTAAAACAAAAATGGCATATCTGCCAAATTAAACAACGCGTTAGTTCCTCTTAATTTCACAAAAAAAATTTTATTTATTTATTTATTTTTATTCAAAGTATTTAATGATTGATTGATTGATTGATTGATTGACTAAAAGATTCACGAATTGTTTACCACATTATTTTTCCTTCCTATTTTTTTTTTTTTTTCTTATAAAAAAAACCCTTTTTCGTTTTTTTTCCTCCATTTTGTTTCGCGAATGACGTCACGATAAAAGTTTAACGAATTTTTTGTTTTTCTTTCTATTTCGTTCTAAATGTTTCCAAGATAATTTATTTTTCTTAGTCATTTCCAACTGTTGTTTCGATTTATTATTATTATTATTATTATTATTATTATTATTATTACATTGTTTTTATTACAAAATTGTTGTTTGTTCTTATCGACATTTTATTTAATAAATAATTTTAAGAAAATTGTTTAATTTTTTTAACAAAAATGTAATTTATTTATAGTTCCCCCCCCCATTTCTTCTCCCCCTTTTTTAACAAATTAATAATTTTTTTTCCCTTACCTTATGTAATAACAACAAAATATAACGAATTAATTTTTCTTTATTTTACTCACACACGGTTTTAATTAATCTCTTTTTTTTTCTGTTCGAAAGCAGAAGATATTTTTTGCAACCTAAATAGCAATTAACGCATCTGTTTTCCATGTCACGTATCACGACACACACAAAAAGAAAAATTGTGAAATAAAATAAAATAAAATAAAAAAAATGTTACATCTTTTACACTTTTTTCCCCCCTTTGAAAATAATTTTAAATTTAATTAGTTTAAAAAAAAAAAAATTTTGGCGCCATTTAATATTAATGATGGCGTCATAAGTTCGAAAATTTTGTTTTCTCGTAATAATATATAGATTTTAAATTTATTTATTTATACGATTTCATTCGTTTTTTTTTCTCTCACACTTTTTTAATAATAAAATCTATTTTTTAAAATAACAAAATAATAATAATAATAATAATAATAATAATAATAATAATAATAATAATAATAATAATAATAATAATAATAATAATAATAATTAAAACTGAAAAAAATTTCTTCACTATATTTCTTCAATAATGTTATTTTCATATCCACCATCATCCCCATATTATTTCTCTCATCCTGTTCACCGCCACCTTAAATTTCATTTTCCAAAAAAAAAGGCGCGAAAATTTAAAATCAACAAGTGATCGGAAAATCGTAAGTGAAATATAGGGAAAATATTAAATTTATTTTTTTATTTTTTATTAAAAATGTTTTTTTTTAATTGACGTATAAAAATAAGTTTTTTTTTTCTTTTTAAATACATTAATGATATTTAAATATTTGCAAATTAAAAAGTTTACAAAAATAATAATAATGATAATAATAATAATAATAATAATAATAATAATAATATCGAATTAATAATATCTGGTAATCGAATTCTGGCTCGTTTAATTATGATGCCATTCTCGTCAAATTTTTTTTTTTTTTTTTTTTTTTCAACTCTTTTCTCTAATCGTTTCTACTCTCTTGAAAATTACAATAATAGTGATGATAATAATAATTATGATGATGATAATAATAATAATAATGCATTCAAAATACAAAAAAAAAAAAAAGATTCTTTCAAACAATCGTGTTTTTTTTTTTTTCATTAAATTTTTCATTCACGTTTCGCATTTTTAAAGCTCAACCTTCACTCACATTAACTTTTTAATAAAAAAAAAAAAAAAACGCGGGAAATTTAAATTTACAAAAAAAAAACGCGGGAAATTCAAATTTACAAAAAATAATATTATTTTTTACATATCCATAGAAATTTGATTGTTTTTTTTTTATTTTCTTTTTTCCTTTTTAAATGTAGTTTTTATGAGAGTGAGAGAGAAAGATAATAAAGCAGAAAGAGAGAGAGAGAGAGAAAGAGACAGAGAATTTACACGAATAAAAAAAAAATAAAGAAAAATCGAATAAGTAAAAATAAAATTTAAAAAAAAAAAAAAAACCGACAATTTTTGTCGTACAAACAAACACAAATACGTACACGCACGTAAAATACAACAACACAACCAAGCCAAATAATAATAATAATAATAATTTAACACAAATCAATCATTCAAAATATCATATCAAAAAAAAAAAAAAAATCGCGAGGTGTAAATAATAATAATAATAATGACTCGAAATGTTTTTTTCTTTCTTTTTTCCTTTTTTAAATCCTCTTCCTTTTGCATCTTCTTTTTTTTCTTCTGCTCCTTCTCCTTTTTTCAAATCAACTTTAATTAAACTATAACTAACTTGGTATAAGTTCAACTTTCTTCCTCTTCTTAATCACATTTTTTATTACTTGTTTATGTTTTCTCTGGGAATTGTTTTTTTTTTTTTTTTTTTAAAGCTATTTTCACTCTTTTTGTATTTTTTTTCTTTTTCTTTTGGGTTTTTTAACCTAATCCGAATACATATTTTGGTATTTGATACGTAAATGATGGAATGGCCATTATAACCGACATTCTGGAAGAAAAAAAAAAACATTAAAACGAATTATTACATTTTTAATTAAATTTTTTAAAGCAAACTTTCAAACCCCGACACCACCACCACCACCAGTATAACCAACTGTTAGAAAAAAAATTTATTTAGAAAATTAAATCAATGACACCCAAAAACACGATAGAACAGAAAAAAAAAAAAAAATTTTAAATTTAACTCACCGTTGATAAAAAAAAATTTACGAAAATCAATTAAAAATAAATAAAACCTTCACCAACGAGTGACGTCGAATGAAACAACAACAACAACCACAACCACAACAACAACCAAAAAAAACTTAATAATTACATTATTATAATTAAAAATTTATAGGAAAAAAAAAAAAGTTATTATAATTTATTAACCGGCAATGTACATCATTCTGAAATAAAAAAAAAAAATCAAAAAAAAGAAATAAGGATGAGTTAATATTAATCACGTGATTTGAAAAAAATATTTACATTATGTACAATAATAATAATAATTATTGAGATTATTATTATTAATAAAACAAAAAAAAAAAAACTCACGATAATGCCAAACCGTTGTATATCCACGCTTTCCATCCTACTCTCGTTTTAGCATCTATTCTGCTTTCCAATTCCTGACATAAAAGTTTTCTGTCGTGTGATTTACCAGATCTTAAATCGCACAACATTCTCTTTTTGCATTCAGGATCGCAAGAAGGACGAACTGGAGAATTTTTCCAGTAGTACCTGTGCGAAAACACATAAAGTTAAACACGTTTCCCACCGAAAACAATTTTCATCTTTACTTTCTTACTTGTAATACGTGTCGAAAAGATCATTTTCCGTTGTCAAACGCGTTAGTAATTCGTCCCAATCTTGCGGAAGAAGTGACGTCATAGAATAAGCTTTCCTAGCAGAATATAATTTGTACCAAATTGGATAATCGTATAAATTTGCTTCTTTTAAATTCATCACCCAAGTTTCGTGATCGACCACGAGCTGAAATTTTAAATTTTTTTTTTTTTTTTTATACTTTTTGTTTTTCGCGGGGAGTCATTTTTTATAAATGACGTCATCATACCCTCGTAGTGTGATCGTGATCACCGTCGACGTAATAAATACGATATCCGGGATTGAGATTAACGTATGGCGTAACGCTCGGTCCAACGTATGCCACCGAAACTGCTCTTCCCATATTTTCCGTATCGTAAAAAATTTCAAATTCGTCAAAATGGGTGTGACCGAAAAATTGTGCCGTGATCGTGGATTCGTACCTGAAATAATCATCTTGCGGTTAGTATCATTTCCAAAAAAAAAAAAAGAAAGACAAATTATGAAAAAATTTTCCAAACCTGTTTATTATTTTGTAATAATTTCTACTCCAGACTTTTAAACAATCTGCGTGACCTGAGGGTATGTGACCGATAACGTGAACTTTCTCCCCGTTAAACTCAGCACTTTGTAATTCGTAAATAAACCATTGAAGTTCTCTACCGGGATCCGTACTGTTTAACAGGAGCCACCTAATCAATTAATCACCACCCCCCCATCCCAAATAATTATAAATAATCGAATATTTTTGAAAGGTTTTTTTTTATATAAATGAAAAAAAAAAATAAATAAATAAAATTAACCAGTTTTTATTATTGCAATAATTCATGTTGAGGGATATTATTCGAAATCCCGGACGTACTAAAACGCTATAAAAAGCTCCACGACGTACTGTTTGTGACACTGATGATGGTAACCAATGTCGCCATTGTGCATCCAGTTGATCGTATAACCACGATATTGACCAATCCCCACCCACGAATGGAGGTGGAAAACTAAAATAAGTAAATCAACTTTTTTTTAAATCAAGAACAATATTATAATGGAAAAACCCGTCGTAAATTTTATCACTCACCTGTTTACCGGTACGGCTTCGTGATTTCCCAAAGCTGGAAAAATTGGGACGCCTGGAAAAAATTGAGTCAATTGCAAAACGGTTTCTTTGAGTATCATTAAATTTTCTTCTCGCGTTTGATTCCAAACGTCGTGAGGTGGTAAATCTCCGGTCCATAATATATAATCGATGTCCTGGAAAAAGAAAAAAAAAATCGAATTTCAAACCTGAATTTTTTTCGATCAATCGATCGATCGATCGATCGATCGATTTTCCTCACCGGATGCGTCGCTGATATGTGTTGTAACATGTGATCGATTGTTCTTTGCGGTGTATCACATTTCCTATAATCTCCCCATCGTCCTGCTGCTTTTTCTTTTTTAGCTGCCGGTCCGTTGGTTAACCGACAGCACAGGGGTTCGTTACAATCCGCATTCGACCCCTCTAAATAATAAGGATCGAAATGAGTATCTGATAAATGCAAAACCTTAAACGTAGGAGCTCCCGGCTAAAAAAAAAAAAAAAAAAAAAAACAAAAAAATCTTTGTTGAAATTTTTTTTTTTGTTCAATTTGTTGTAACAAACAAAATTTAATTTAATTACCGTCGGAGCCTGAGGAGCTGGAACAACCGGTTTTGGTACCGGTGGAAATTGTACAGACCATTCATGGAGCGGATTGTAAACATCTCCACATGCATCTCCAACTACTAAACTGCATATTTCGTCTGGTCCTAAACTTACTTTAGATAATACATAAACTACTTCGGTCTAAAAATTTTATTAAAAAAAAAAAAAAATTTCATTATTTTTATAATTGATTTTAAAAAAAAAATGTCTTCCAAAAATTACCCCAAATAATTGGGAAATCCCTTCGCACACCCTCGGGGTTTGAATTTTTAAACTAATACAAAATTGATCGATAAGTTTAAGAATATCAGTATCCGACTTTCCACTTCTTATGTAATGAAGTAAAAGTCCAGTTCCTGGAAGAGAAAGAGAGAGAGAGAGAGATAGAAAAACAAAATTATTATTATTTTTTTCCTTTTCCTTTTCCTTTCCGTTACCGAGAGAAAGCAAAACTAATAATAATAATAATAATAGTAATTTTTAAGAATAATGATAACACAGACCGGCTTTGCAAGCAGTGCAGGAAACTTTTGACATGACACTCGTTTCAACTTCCTGTAAAACTTGCTTCAAATTAAGCAATTTAAGAGCCTTGTCGATAAATTTTGGCAATTGTCTACTTTCACGAACCCCCTGTTTCATTTCTTCGTCAACCTCTTCGACTAGCCTTGAATAATTTACCTGTTAACAATTAATATAAATCGATGAATAAGTATCTACCGCCACGACAAAACGTAAACGTTTGATGAAAACTAAGTTTTTTTTTTGGGGGGGGGGGAAGGATAGAGCATCGTAATCAGACGTATCTATTACACACAGCAAATTACATATCAAGGCCGTAATAAAATTTAAATATTAATCCCTAATCATTTCGTGGATTATCTCACACTCACACAGCACTAATCCAGGTACGTCATATTACGAAATGTTCGTGTCAATAACCACTCCTCTACGTACCCGGTTAGAATCAGGCACACACATGAAATACAAACCCAAAAAGTGCCTAATCAGGGAATGATCGCGCACGATCGTGTATTTCGGGGGCAATGATAGTACCAGGTGTGGGTACTTTTACGGATAATCTTTGTTAAAAAAATTAGGGGGCCCACTCAGATCACATCCACACCCTCCCACAAGAGACGAGCTCCCGTGGTGAACGGTCATCGATGACTAAAGTCGATCCTTAAACAAGATCAACGATAGCCTGCCTCACGCTCAGGCGCAGATGTCATGAATCGTCATCATGGTTTTGGTGCGCAGAAGTCTACGACTTCAAAAGATTATTCATACTACAGAAATGATCCTGAAAAGTATGATCTTAACTTCACCAGGGTTTGACTGTTTAAAATGTATCGAATGTTTTTTAACAATAACCGCGAACGATTACAACGTTAACAAACGAAAGAGAATAAAAATTGCAATCAGAGACATCTGTGTACAAAATTTTACACTAACACAATTTCTCTCGCTCGCGAGACGTTTTTTTTTTTTCAAACGCATAAATCAAATTATAAAAAAACCACCTTTTTTCATATAATCACCGCGGGTATTTCGTTCAATTTAAAATTCTTAAACGGTGAAAGCACGAATTAAAAACACGTAAATCTTTTTTTTCCACCATTAAAATTTACAACCGTAACAAATAGTAAACCGATTTGTTTTTTTTTTTTATCATTTCATCGGTTTCATATCAGATGAGTTCGATGAAGTTTACAAACATAATTAAATCGTCGATTTTATTTAGTTTAATAAAATTTTACAAGTCCGATGAACCACAATAACAACAGGACATTTCCCCCAAACCTCTATTTTTTTTTTCGTTTTTTAACATTGAAGCCCGCAAAAGGTCATAAGTTCAAACAATTAAATTTTATTTCGGTTCACGTTAATTTTCACGAGTGAGCCGAAATAAAAAAAATTGTTGATAAAAAAGGCGTTAAAATAACATAAATAACGTCATTAATTTTAAACGATTTTACGTCAAAGTAAATAAATAAAAATCGTGAATGACAATCAGTCAATCAATCAATCAATCGTAAAATTATACATTTACGTAAATAGTAATCATTTATCCTTTAACGATACTTTCATTTAAAAAAAATTTTTTTCTAATGCCACGCACATTAAAAACAAAAAAAATTATTTTCCTTATTTTTTTTCTCCAAAAATGGGCGTCGTTTATTTCGACTAAAAAACCCATTTTCCCGAAAAATTACTTGGATGTTCGATTAGAAAGTACTACGATTCGAAAATCATTTTTTTTAAATAATAATAAAATTTTATTTCATCTTACTTTGAGTAATTTAAATTGTTTCAACGTTTCCGCTTCCGATTGTTCTTCAACGAATGATGAATTTTCGGATTTTTTCGAGGGACTCCATTCAACGGGAGTTTCGACTATTTTATAACGATACCTTTCCCTCGGTATACTACCACCATCCCACGAATCGCCATATCGCCTATATATGTCACCTGTATCGTTTAAAGCCCTTCCAACAACAACAACGGGATTCCCTGAAAATAATAAAAAAATCAATTAAAAGAGAACAACCATAACAAACACGACCATATATGGCTAAATAGTGAAACTTAATAAAAACTTTCTAACTGACCACATAACAAACGTTTTTGGAACGTATACATATATTCGTCTTCTTCATTTTTTTGATTTTAAAATAATAATAATAATAATAATAATAATAATAATAATAATAATAATAATAATAATAATAATAATATTAAAAATAATAACAAAAAAGGTGTTTTAGATAGAAAAATGAGGACAAAGGTCACGGATTTAATTTTTTTTTTTCTTTTTTTAATTCGTTTTACGGTAAAAAACCGGATTTTTTTTTTTTTTGTTGCCGTTAATTAAATAATTAATTAATAATTTTTTTTTCCGTTAATAATTTAAAATAAATAAATAAATAATAAATAAATAAATAATAAATAAAATCAAATAAATAAATAAAAATTTCAATATGTCGTCGTTCGTTCAACAATTATTATTATTATTTTATAAAATTTCGACACGCGAAAACTTATTTAAAAAATTTATTTTTAAATAATAATAATAATAATAATAATAATAATAATAATAATAAAAACGGTTATTTTTAAACGTTTAATTATATACATTGTCACGATTGTTGTTGTTAAATTTATTTATTTATTTATTTTTTTTGTTGATATGCTTATTTACGTCGATGATGATGATGATGATGATAAAACCGTTTTATAATAAAAGTGGTTATTTTCTTGTTTTTGTTGTTTTTTTGTTTCCCAACCTGTAATTATTATTATTATTCTTTTTTTTTTTTAATGAAAAACTTAACAGTATTGTTTTCGGGTCGAAAACGTAACGGCTAAATTAACTGTTTTGTATTGCGATGGATAAAGAAAAAAAAGGTATAAATTTCAAAGGAAGGAAGTTCACAAAGGAAGGAAGTATCGATGGAAAGTATCAATTAAAAATAAAAAAAATTCAAGGAAGTTAATTATTAAAAAAAATAAATAAATAAATAAAGAATAATAATGATAAGTTTCTTTCTGACTTTTTGTTTTAATAACACGTTTAAGAATCCATGTTGGGGATTTAAATTGTGACGTCATCAAAAAAATAAATAAATTCGAGTTGTGTCAAATGTCGCGATATAAACATTAAAAAAATTATATTTTTATAATCATCGATTATTGAAATTAGTGATAACGATATCCTTTTCCGTTGACATTGAGTGATTATGATAGTTTTTAAAATAAAAAACGTGCGTTTTTTTTTTTTTTTACGATTTCCACGCGTAAAAAAAAAAAAGCGATGGCAAATTCCCATAAAGTTCATTAAGGTTAAGGTTCATTACGTTTGTTTTTTTTTTTTTTTTTCGTATTTATTTTGATACCTTCGACTCGAAAATAAAACTAATAATTACAGTGATGATGATGATGATGATGATAAGGTAAAAAAAAAAAATTGTAAAACTTACATGTTGCAATGACTAGAAGAAAAATATTTGTTGCAATTATTTTTAACATTTTTTGATTGCGTGCACATTTTGTAAAATTTAAGTGCATGCTAACGATTGTTTATTGTCACCTGAAAAAAACAAAAACAAAAAAAATATTTAAAACCTTAAAAAAATTAAATCCAGGTTTAAAAAAAAAAAAAGAAAATGGCGGAAAAGAAAATGTTACGAAACCTTTAGAATTTTTTATATATATACCGTTGAAAAACAAAATGAATCGTTTGTATTTTTTTACGTTCGTTTGTTCGTTTGTTTGTTTCTTTGTTTTTCTTTCTACTTTACGCACGTGTGCGTGTATGTACCTTATTAAAATTAATTTTACTTTTCTCCTAATCAAAAATCACAAACAACAATTTTTGTATAAATTTAATTTTAAAAAATTTAAGAAGGCGTTAAGACGAAACTCAACCCGAAAAATATTATTATTATTATTATTATTATTAACTTAAAAACTGCTTCGATAAGAAGGTCACTCACTCACTCACAAACTCTCTAACCGTCACGTTTTTTATTTTTATTTTATTTAAATCAAATGTCACTTAATATATAAAAACACATAAAAAATTTTTAAAAATTCTTTAAATCCAATTTTTCATTATAAAAAAATTTATTTAATAATAATAATAATAATAATAATTCACACGCGTTTATTTTTTTTTCGATACGAATCCGAGGAATAAAAACAAACTTTTACTCAAACTATTATTATTATGTTATTTTATACGTTGAAAGTACAAGATTAAAAAAAAAAAAAATCACTGTTTCGAATCGAAATATAATATTCTTCCTGATGAGAATTTTTACTTCCGGGAGAAAATTATTAATTGATTAAAATAAAAAAAAAAACAAGTTTTAAAACTCTCGACATTTTTCTTTTCTTTTCTTCTCATTGGTTTAAATTGAATTTTCATTACCACATCGTCATTTGTGAAAAAACTAATAATTAAATTAATAATTTTTTTTATGTTTACAACAACAACGACAACGACAAACGAAATATTAAATCGATGACATGTTTTTTTCATTGATTAAATCCACCATTTTTTAATTAATTAATTAATTAATTAATCTTAATAAGGAAACAGATTAATAACTTGGATTTTATTGGATTAACGAAAATTATTATTGAATTTTAAACGTCGTTACGAATTTAATCTTTTTTTTTTTTTTTCGAATTACATCAAATCGTTAAATGCGACATAAATGTGTGAAAATTAAATGATGACGTCAATACGATTAATTATTACGCACGTTACGCATAATTTTCCTTCCTTCCTTCCTACCTTCCCACCTTTCCTACTTGAAATTTTTATTACCCTTCGAAATCTTATGACTACTCGCTGAAATTTTAATACCATCTCTGAATTTTTTTTTGGGAGGGGAGGGGGGTTTAAAAACCGTTGAAATGATTCAACGATTATAATTTATTATAAAACAAACAAACAAACAAACAAACAAATCCGATCGACTTTCTATCCAACTCTCACAATTATATGATGACACCATTGGAAACATCACAATAACCGATATAATTTAAAAAAATTAATTTAATTCGAATCACGAAATCGATTTTTTTTAATTCAATACATTTCCGGAAATGGAATGGAGGCGTTTTCCAAAAAAAAAAAAAGGCGTAAGAAAAATTTTTATACCTGATTTCGTACCTTAAACACCTTATTCACTCGCTTTTAAACTAAATATAAGTCTTACGAGGGTATAAAAAAAAAAATTTTTGGATTTTCCAACACTTGCGAAAAAAATACCCATCATTATTATTATTATTATTAATCACGCGCCTTTTTTACCAGTTTTTTTAGCAAATCATTCCCATAATCGGTATAATAATAATAATAATAATTAAATGATTTTATTTTTTTTTTTTATTCAAAGAGTAAGTAATCAATCATTCGGGAATGAACGCGTTTAAACAAAAAAAAAAAAAAAACCTTAATCGTTGTTTGATTATGTCCTTAAATTCAACCTAGACCTTTTTTTTTCTTGGGGGTTGGGGGAAAAGGGGGGTTTCATTTTAACACCTTTTATAAAATCAAAAAAAAAAAAAAAAAAAAGAAGATCACTTAACGAAAGTTAACGCAATAGACAATTAACACGCATACATTTATTGTCCTACAAATATTTTTTTAAAAAATTTACGCGCACGCGTAGACACGCACGCACACGCATGAACGCACCCAAGGGTCAAAAAATAATTGCAAAAGTCACAAAAAAAAAAAAAAAAAAAATTACCACCACCACCGCCATTTTGTTAATATTCGAAAAAATTTCCACACTCAGTTGTGCAAATGTAAAAAAAACTTTGTAAAAAAAAAAAAATTGATTACGTCATTCATTTAATTATTACTTACTTTAAATATTACATGTAATGTTTCTTCAAATCCGTTTATTATTAATAATAATAATAATAATAATAAAACTTTCGATGTGATATCTATGAAATTAAATCCCCGACTGACTGACTGACTGACAACAATTTATTTAAAAAAAATTTTTTTTTTTTTTTTTCCGACCAAAAAAAAAAAAAAAAAAAAACAAAATGGAGTGCATCTGATGTAATAGATTATTTGCATTCAGCATTTAATAAACAAAATATACTTTTTTTTTTTAACAATGCGGTGGTAAATTTAGGTTATCATATATTACGTAATAAATTTTTTTTTTTTTTAAACGAAAATATATATATGGTACTTGGGTATTTGGCGAAAAATTATTTTCGATACCTCATTTAAATTAAAACGATTCATTTATTCAGATTAAATAGATATACAAACAAACAAAGGGAGGGGGGAGGCCAGCATTTGAAAAAATCAACAAACAAACAACAACAACACGCAATATAAACTTTCACACGAAAATGCATCGGATTTAATACAAACTTTTTTTTTTCTAAATCCAAAAAGAGGATTAATAAAAAATTATAACAAAAAAAGATTTAAGTGTTGGGAACATAAAAAAACATAAAAAGGATTTTGCATAATTTAATGATTATTATTATTATTACCTCTCTAAAGTGACCTTGTTAAATTTATTTCTTTTATGATGGCATACATAACATTTAGAAAAAAACAATCTAGAAAAACTAAAAAAAATTTTTTCTTTTTTTTTTTAGTTACTCACTTTCATTTCTTTCAAAACATGGTGAAACTTAGGTTCGTGTTTTTTTTTTCCTTTTAAAAATAAAAAGAAAAAAATGATAACGAAACTAGAAAATTTAAAAAAAATATATATATATATATATTTAATTAAACCGCCATATTGAATTTCCTTCCCTTTTTAAAACAACGTTCAACAAACAAACTTAAAAGCATTTAATATTTTTAAAAAAAAATAAAACATTTTCGCAATTAAAATAATAAACCTTTTCTCATAATATTAATAATAATAATAATAATAATAATAATAATAATAATAATAATGAAACCGTTAAACAAACATACAATAATAATCATCATTACGAAAAAAACATTTTTAACAACGATTAACAATTTATTTTATTTGATTTTCGATCGGAATTGATTGATTGATTGACTAAAAAAAGGTAAACTATTATTATTATCGGCCATAGGGATTGAAAGAGTGAGAGAGAGAGAGAGAGAGAGGCACACATTCGAATTTACTTTTATTTTCTATTATTAGATATGTAATTAAAAAGTTTTTCTTGTTCTTGACTAATCGAAAAATGTGCTTCAAACCACTCGTCGTTATCAATTCGAAAATAATAATTATATGATAAGGATCGTGTTGTGTGTGTGTAGGGGCGCGCACCCATCAGGTACGACAACAAATTTGTTATGACAAAATTAGAAAAATATGTAAAACAATCTCGCGTAAGAGAGTAACAAAAAAACAAGTCATTTTATTTAAACAGTTGATTCGATTTCGAAATCGAGGTCAAAATAAATAAAAGAAGCAGACGACAAATTTTGTTAACTTTTTTTTTTTTTTTTAAAAAAAAAAAACACGTAATGATTTGTTCAGGTAGGTAGGTACCGTTTATCGATGAGTGGTATAAAACAAAATCAAAGCCAACGCATATCCGTACCAATATTATCATCCATATTGTTTTCTTTTAAATTTTAAATCATTTAATTTCCCTTTCTCCATCTTGTTTCCCCCCACCCTCCCCTTCCTTCTCCCCCTTACCCATCTAAATCATATTAAACGACAGTATTATTATTATTATTATTATTTGCCTCACGTGATATTTTGGAATATTTTTATTTATGAAACTCTTGACCTTACCTTAATATAATTACGTTTAAGAACTTTTTAATAAAAAAGTTGCACTGCAACAAAATTATTATTATTATTTTTTTTTTTTTATAAACAAAATTAAAAACCGGTGGAATCACTCGAGTGAAAGCTATTGGTATCAAACCACAAAGTTAATCTGGTATATTTATATTCATTCGATTTGAAAAAAAAAAAAAAAAAAAAAAAATTGTCCAAATATTTTTCAATGTAAATTTTATATCTAAAACAAATACGCAATTTTTTTTTTTTAATTTTTAATTTACCCCTTTATTATAAATCAATCGTCATTATTATTAATTTGTTGATAAATAATTTATTTCTATATTAACATGAGTTAATAAGTGACACATATTATTAATAATAATAAATAACACTTCTTATTTTTAACCCCAATATTAAAAAAAAAAAAAAATTATTAATAATAATAATTTAATTATGTGTTATAATTTCATTGACATCAATTGACATATTTTTTAATAATGGAATCAAATTAAGTTTTAAGTTTTTAAGTTTAAGTTTTTAAGTTTAAGTTTTAAAAGTGATATGAAAATATGTAAAACAAATAACAGTAAATACTTTTTTAAAAAATAATTTTTGAATTAATAAATACAATAACTTGATTTCTTCTTGTTTTTTTGTATTATTAAATTCATAAATATATATATATATATATATTCACATTCTTTTCTTCCTCTTCTTCTTCCCCCCCCCTCTCTCTCTCTCTCTTTCAAAAACAAACAACAATTGAAAAATAATATTGTTTAAACAAATAGACAAGTAATACTTGAAAAAAAAAGTAATTTTAGGACAAAATTTTAATTTTCAATCATTTCAATTGAATACACCAAATTTATGATAAATTTTTGTTATTTATACATTCTCTCTCTCTCTCTCTTTACCTCTCTTTCAACAACAACAATTAAAAATAATATTGTTTAAACAAATAGACAAGTTATACTTGAAAAAAATAATAATTTTATGGTAAAAAATGTATTTTTTTGCACCAAATTTATGATAAATTTTGTTTTGTTTTGTATTTATACATTTCTCTCTCTCTCTCTCTTTTCTTATCATAATAGTAATTGTTGTTTTTTATGTGTGAAATATTTTCACAAACATTATTTATTTATTTATTTTATTTAAATGAATACATATAAAAACATTCACACATATGTAACATTTTCATGATAACATGAGAAAAAAAATATAAATGAAATTGTTATTAAAATTTTTAAATAAAAAAATGAAAGAGAATTTGTTTTTTCTCTTTCTCTTTCTTTCTCTCTCTCTCTCTCTCTCTCTCTCTCTCTCTCTCTCTCTCTCTCTCTCTCTCTCTCTCTCTCTCTCTTTTAAGTAAAAATGTTACAAACGATCGAAGAAATGACATCCTTACGATTTTAGTAAAAAAAAAAAAAAAAAAAATGAGAATAATTAGTGTTTAACTTATGCCCTAGTAAAGATGACAGTAATCATTAGGTCTGGTAAAAATAATTTTAACGGTCGAAAAGTAGGTTAACTTAAGTTTTTTTAACTTAATCGTTTATATAAAATTTCTTTATAATATAAAATAATAATAATAATAATAAATGTGTGTAAATTATTATTAATAATAATTTTTTATAGGAATTCGTTAAAAACTTTTTCGTTTTTTTTTTTTTTTTAAATTTTTGTAACAATGGTAAATTGACTTTTGAAAACCATTTAAATATTCTTTTTTTTTGTATATGAAACTTATGAAATGGCTTAGTATAACAATTGATAATCGTTTTTTCCCCCTTAAACTCATTAATAACATTTGTTTTAATATAAATAATTAAAGTAAAATGGAAAAAAAAAAATTTTTTTTAAACTCACCTAAATACAAATAACTTCATACGTGTTAATGAAAAACGTAATTTTATAAATTTATATATATATATACACAAACGTAAAATGTTTCTTTTAAAAACAAAAAAAAAAAACCTTAATTTTAAATGTCAATAACTTTTTCTTTAATAAAAAACAATAATAATTATAATTTTATAAAACTTTTAAAACAAATTCGAATACAACAAAAAAAAAAAAAAAAAAAAAAAGTATTAAACTGTTCCGGAATGCTACCCATAAAACAAACATTTCAGACAAGACTAACAAGCTTCCATTGAACAATCACAATCTCCCTGACTTTCCTTTAAAAATTTCCTTTGACGTTAAAGCCACTTACACAGTTATTTTTCTCATTTCAAAATGGCGGCTCTAATTTTTATATATTTGTCATCGCCTTATTGATTTTCATTTTTTTTTTTTTTTCTTTTTTACAATCAGAAAAACTTTTTGAAAAATCGAACGGTTTTAAAATTAAACGGTTAATGGTAAATTTAATTTTATTAAAACGTTAATAATTCTTTATATCTCACATAATTGTAACTTAAATATTTACTTAATGAGTAAACCTGATTGAATTTATAAGTTAATAATGTGTAAATATACACATTGAGATGTAATGATAATAAGAAATTATATATAAAGCATTTGATTTTGACAAAAACTATTTTTCTTCAATAGAATTCGATTGTATTTATGTCATATAAAAATTTCTTAATCGCAGTGAGAATTCGAGATTTGGAACTCGAGTAAAATGTCAATTTCTGATTTGAAATTTGTTAAATTCGTAACAATATTAATATTCCATATTTTCTACTTGCTCATCTTCAATGCCTTCAATGTTATCATTTAAAACTTCAAAACTACCATCTTTCATCCACACACATTTTAATGTAATTTTAAATTGAGCTAAACATTCTCCTATTAATTTAAGAATTTGAGCTTGTGCAGGAGTTAAAATATCTCCTGAATTGCAAACTGTGTACTCATGTCTTAAATGAACTTTACCATTTTTAATAACTGTTGGTAATCCGAGTTTTCTTAAATTTGGTTCCATTGAACCGATAAAATCTAAAAGGGGTCCCTCAGGAAGCGTAACTGTTTTTTTAACTTGAAATCCAGATCTAGCATATTCTGGCTTGTAATAATTATCGAACCACCTAAAACAAAAAAATTATAATTTTAAATTTTGTAATTATTTTAATTTCTTGTGATAATAAAATATCATAATAACTATAAATGATCTAAATTGCTCATTTTTTCACACAATAAAATTACATTACAACATTTTATTCAAATTTTGGATTTAACCATTTACAATATTTTAATTTAAGTGTAACACACGAGAAACAAATAACTTTCGATAATTAAATGCTTACTTTACGACATCGCTTTTTTTCTCATTTGTGAACAGTAGACCACATTGTCCTTTAATTTCTTTAGCTAATTTGTGTACGTTATCACCTTGTTCGCTCTCAGTAGTTTTACCCAAAGCCAAAGCCATTAATTTACTCTTTCCGAAGAAGAACCTACTGTGCTTCCATTCTGCTCTTACCTCTTTCAATGCAATATTTCTCATATTTTTAACGTAAAATAAATAAAGGCTATCATATTTGGTTAAATTTTCTCGTATTTCCGCCACTAAATTTTGTTTAAAACTTAATCCTTTCTTTTTTGTTTGCGTAAGAGAAACTGCAAAACAAAATATATATAAATTTAAGTATTTAAATACAAAAACACAACCACGTGATACTAATAATCGAAATTAATTATGAATTAATATCAGAAATATAATAAAATCTTACTTTTCTGATCTCTTTTAGATTTAGGCATTTTATTTTATTCAACAAATCACGGCGTACAATTAATTAATTAATTAAAAAAAAAAATAATAATTTAAACATTAACACCACATTTACCCGTCTTATTCTTCGTATTCTTTCGCAATAGAATACTTTCAAAGGAAATCAAAGTTGGCAAAACTGTAACTACTGCCACGACCAAAAAAAAATTAACGAATTTTAACCGGTTTAATTAATAATACTCTCATTTAAAAACAAAATACAAAAACTTGATTTATTTGCCGTAGAATTCATTAATAACCGATTTAAAAAACAATTTTAAAATTATTCGAATAATTATTCGATGATGAGAGAGAGAGAGAGAGAGACGATGTAAAATACATATTAAAAAAAATTCTATGCAAGTACAATTATTAAAAAAAAATTTAACATTTGAACTCTCGAAAACTAGTATCTCATAGTTTTAAAAAAATCGATAATAAACGATGATAAATAAAATTTTAAAGAGTGTAAACAGGTTACTACCCGTGGGGGGACAATACTTGATTTTATTTAAATGATCATTGATCTTTTAAAATATATTTTTTACCTTTTTTTTTTTTCTTTTCAAACTTCACTCTCTCATATTCAAATCACTCACTCACTCACTCACTCGCCTCTTTAAAAATAATAATAATAATAATAATAATAATAATAATAATAATAATAATAATAATAATAATAATAAATAAATAAATAAATAAAATAACCGAATTTGCATTTAACGGAATATTTAAATCATTAAATAACTGTTATTCATTTTACAACTTTAAAAAAGAACAAATATACCCTTTTTTTATTTAAATATCATCATCATCATCATCATCATCATCATCATTATTATTATTAGTATTATTTATTTTTTTAATTATCGTAGATTTTATTAACAAATAATTTTTTTTACTCCCTTCATTTTTGTTTTCTCTCATGAATTTTTTATTTCATTATTTTTATTTCATGCTAAATTCTCTCTCATTCTCTCTCTCTCTCTCTTTCCCCCCTTTATCCCCCTCCTCTCTCTCTCATTTGGGGGTTTTACACGTTTTCTAAATGATTTAATACTTTCTAATTGAATACCTGGAAATTTAAAATACGTTAAAATCTCTTTCACGTCATATGGACGACATCAAAAATATGGAGGAAAATTTTTTTTTTTTTT